TGGTTGACAAGGTAACTCGTAGGATATTAAATCCTAGGTAGGTGGCCACCATGGTTTGAACTCATTCCCTCTAAGTCCTTTACTATTTACAAAGGTCCTTATTGACCACTTGAGCCATCCCATGATGGTAGGGTACTTTACTATTTGCTTTAATGGTAGCCGATGTTTGAAGGAAGCTTCAAACTCAAAGGGCCGTGGGTCAACATCAGCCATTGTTGTGCCAAAGTAGAAGTTTTGGTACAAGTTCAAGGTGGGCAACGGGAATAAGCTACGCTTCTGGAAAGATCATTGGCGGTAAAATGCTCCTCTTCTTAGTGCTTTCCCTAGACTTTTTAGACTGGCAAACTCTAAAGAGTATATGATAGCTCAATGCTGGTCTGCAAATCAAAGAGGATGGGATATGGAAGTAGATGATTGGGTTGATCTTTCAAATGGCTTGGTGGATATGGTCTCTACCAAGAATGAAATCTTAAAGGTTTGGATGCTAGAGAGCAGTGGGGTGTTTTCTGTCAAATATCTTATGTGAAAGCTGGTTAACCAGCTGGGGATGGATCTTACCAGTGGAAGCTTCATCTGGAAGCTGGAAATTCGTAAAAAAGTTAAGGTTTTCTTGTGGATTTTTGATAAAAAAAAGGATCAAGACGACTTGTAGACTTCAGAAATTAATTCCAACAATGTACATCTCTCCGAGTTTGTGAATTATGTGTAGAAAGAATGGAGACGATCAAACTCATCTCTTCCTAAACTGCCATTTGTTGCTTGTTGTTGGACAATTTTACTTAATACTTTCGACCTTAGCTGGGTTTTTCCTAACAACTTGACAGAAGCTTTCGTACAGCTCATCTTAGAGACAAGTTTTAAAGGTCAAGCAAATATTTTGTGGTCGAATGCAGTTGTGGGTTTGCTGTGGTGAGTGTGGCTTGAAAGAAACAGAAGGATCTTTCATGAAGATGAAAAGGATAGAGCTTCTTTTGGGTTCTTGTTAGAATTTTTGTATCTTCTTGGTCTTCTATAATACTATAACTAAGCCCTTTTGTAACTATGGAGTGACACAAATCATTGCCAATTGGGAGTCTTTTGTGTGACCCTTTGGCTTGTGGGATATCTCATCTCTCCATTTTTGTAATCTTCTCTTTTGATAATTAAAGTATTGTTTCTTATAAATATATTTATATATAGCGAGAGGTAAGATGCTTACCAGGATGGACCAGTCCCTCTTGGTCAGCTCCCATAACAGAAATTTGAACAAAAATCAAAGTCTTTCTTGCTCTTCCCTATATAGTGAGCCATGGCACATGAAACACCCCAAAAGTTAAGTTCTTCCCACACAAGCTCCCACTCCAGGTTGGTGTATCTTATGTATGAAAGGGGTGCAGACACAAGATTATCTTTTCATCAAATTGCCCATTTGCTAACATCTAGTTGTCCTCCACGGCCCATGCTATCTTACTGGCATTTTGCACTTCCCAACAAAACAACCTAAACAACCTCCTTTCCTACATCTTGACAAGGCATTCCTTTAAAAAGAGAGGTCAGATCCTTTGGCCCTACGTTATAGAGCTTTCTTTTGCAACTTATGGTACAAAAAGAACAACAAAACTTGTAACAACAAAGGGTAGTCTTTTGGTAGTTTTTCTTTAATCTTTAAGTGACCACTTTATCTTGGTGTGAATGGTAGAGTACTCTCCTTTTAGCAATTATGGTCTTAATGATCTTCTGATCAATTGGAAGGATTTTTTATAATCTTCATTGACTAGGGGTTTGGCTTTCCTCCAGTTTTAGTTATAATTCATACTATCAATCAAATATTTGTTTCCTGTAATATTAGAAATATCATAAAAAAATCATATGTTTCCTCCCGGAAAGAATGTAGCATGTAGCCAAAATCTAAGCCATTCCTTCAAAGGGATGTTCTGTCAAGAATTGCATGAATATAAAGGAATCTCAGATCTCATGCATGTAGCACCAGTTGTTTTAGAGAGATAGGTGTGAATTATTCTTTTAATTCTATTGCTAGTGATTTTTCCAAGCATAAGGGAACTTATAAGGATATTAACCTTTTTGGGCATATTTAAAATTCATAGTATGATAGCAAAATCCTTTGGAAGGAGCATTCTGCCCATATGCCTTGATCTGGTGGAGGCTCTCTTCTTTTTTTTTTTTTTTCTTTTTGCCTGGAGTTGATCTCCTTTAGCTGTTGCACTCAACAATTTGCTTTCCTTTTTGTTTTTTCTTTCACCAGTAGATCCTTTAATTGATGTCTTGGAGAATTTCAAAGCCTCCAGTAGAAGCGTTTAAATCATTATATTCCCTTTGAGCAAGACTTTTGATGCTCTCTCTCTCTTAATAATTAGAATGTAAATTCTAAGTATTGTGTGTCCTACATCTAGACTAGTATTTGATAAGGTTTGAGTTAAGAATTTGATCTTGACACTTTTTGTAGGGGAACATATTTGTATCCTATATTTTTTAAACTTATGTTTGAAACTTTTTACCATTACCTCTTTTTTTTTCCCTTTTTTGGTTTTGTTACTTCTCTTCTGATTTCATTTTATCTTGTCATTACTTTTCTTGGAGAATGTTAGCCCTCCAATTGTGAAAACTTATAGTAGGAAGGGCAAAGAGGTAATTGTAGAAGGAATAGGCCTTAACGGCGAAGAGAGAGAATCGGAGGGAACTAGCCACATGTAGGCAAAAGGGGAGTAGGTCTATAAGGGGAGGGAATGTAGGAGGAGGAGATCATTCTGGATTTTTGTGCTAGGAACCTTTTTGGTTGTTTGGGAGAGATTCCCCACCCTCTCGAATAGGTGGGTTGTTTTGTATTGCCTTCGGCTTGTTTCTTTATCAGTAAAAGTTCATCGTGAGAGTGGAGACCTCACAGGAACTGGTGGGGTTATTTTATGCACTCTATATTTAATGTTATAATAATTTAGAAGACGTATTGACAAGTGGTATACTTCTCTGACATGGATTATAAAATGGTTAGGAGCTGTCATGTTCTTATTTGAAGGCAATTTTGGCAATATTCTGCATACGGGCGATTGCAGACTAACTCCTGAGTGTCTACAGAGCTTACCGGAGAAGTATCGTGGAAAAAGTGGTAAAGAGCCTAGATGTCAACTGGATTTGATTTTTCTAGACTGCACATTTGGTAGATTCTTTCAACAATTCCCCAGCAGGCATTCATCAATACATCAGGTATCATAGTTCAACAAAACATGAGCTAATCCAATTCAACTGAACATATATCAATATGATAACAATAAATGATACGAAGGAACTAATTCAATCATGGTTTGATTTGGATGAATTTTGAAAGTAGTTTCTCTAAATACTTTTTCATGATCGCGTAGGTAAACATGAAAAATAAAAATTTTAATTTGTTTAATATAAAAAAAAACTTTCTACTCATACAACAGTCATGTCAAATATTAGTCTTAATCGACCGAGATATCAAATATACTTTCCACTCTTACTAAAGTCATCCATAGTCTTAATGGATTGAGATGTTATAGACTTGATGCATTGGTTGATTGACACTGTCCAGCCTCCACGTTACTCTACCAAAAAATAGTTTTGCTAATGTTATTTGTAATTCTTTTGCCATAATTGGTTTGCCAATTAAAAAATATTTTTAGAGCAATCTTGTTAGAGTACTAGGATGATTTCATGGAATTTTACCATTTGTCATATATAGGCGTAATGAAATTATAAGAGTTTGTTTTTCCTCTGATTTTATTAGACAACCTTATTCTCCCCCCCTTCTCCCCAAATATTGTTATTGCCTGATGGTAATCTGAATCATCATATCATCTGTTCCTTTGAGTGACTCATACTATGATGTTGAACCATGCTATGGATATTTGGAGCCCATATCAGTGGCGGCTAAATCATGTTTCTGTAAGGCTTCTAATATTGGCTCCTTCGATATGTCATACTTTGGCGGTTGTTATTGGAAGCTCCTTATTTTAGTAACACTTTTTTTTTAATTTTAGAACCTTCCTTTAGAAATAAATTTCTGTTGTTTGTGGAGTATAATCTGTCCACCTTATTTTGTGCTCTGCTTAAACCTTTGAGTCCATCTGTATGTTCTGGGCTGTTGGCCAAAGTTAAATATCATGTATTTACATTCTTTGGATGTGTAAGCAAATATTTAATTCAAGATCAATTATCTTTGCAGATTATTAATTGCATATGGAAACATCCTGATGCTCCGTTAGTGTATCTGATTTGCAATCTTCTAGGACAGGAAGATATATTGCAACAAGTGTCCCAAACATTTGGTTCAAAGATTTTTGTTGATGAATCCATGAAAGCAGGTTACAAGGCTCTTGAACTTATAGATCCTGAGATCCTCACTCAAGATCCATCCTCCCGTTTTCATTTGCTTGGTGGATTCCCTAAACTATGTCAAAGAGCAAAACCACTGCTTCGGGATGCCCAGACCAATTTTCAGCATGAACCTCTCATAATCCGCCCTTCGACCCAGTGGTATGTTCATGAGGAACTGTCAGAGGTTTTCACCACAAGGAAACAGATAATTAGTGAAGCAATCAAAGATCAGCATGGTATTTGGCATGTCTGTTACTCGATGCACTCGTCGAAGGAAGAACTTGAATGGGCCTTGCAAATTTTAGGCCCTAAGTGGGTTTTTTCGACCACTCCTGGTTGTCGTGCCATGGATTTGGATTACGTGAAGAAGAAACTCAGTTGCTCTAGTTTAACTTCCAATGGCCTAATCTGGAAGCTTTTTGGTATAGCTGAGGAAAGTTCTTCAGATTTAGATGTTTCAACGATGGAAGTGGGCTGTTCCCCTATGGTTGAAGCACCCGCTCAAATCAACATAGATCCTCAACTGCAGCCCGTGAAACTGTATGCTTTCCCTAAAGAAATGCTGAATGTTTTGTCTTCAAGCAACTTGCCACCTCTTACATTATTTGGACGAGCTAGACTTGGCGCAAAAGAGGCTGATTTGTTGCTGGAAGAAGTTCCATATCCGTCTACAGGGAATGATGAGCCTGTAGAAGCAGTTGGAGGTAAGGTAATAGACTTGTCAATTCATGATGCAAATAATGGTCAATTGAGCGACGAATCATCAGAAAATTCTGAAAACGAAGTTAATTCTGAAGAGAAGCACAAGAAGTTTGCAAATGATGGGTTATTAGTTGACAATAACGCCTCTATTAGCTCTGAACGGGTTAGGCTCCATGTTTCTGAAGTAAAAGTCACGTCCATGAATGACACTCATCCACCAAAACCAGTAGGCAGTAACGTAGAAGAACTTTATATCCATGTGCAAAAAGGTAGAGTGAAGGGAAATGAGTCGTTAGTTGATTGTGAAGATGTTGGTAGTATTCCCGAAACACATGCTGGGAAGTTAATAGATGACAGGATAACAGTCTGTTGTAATTCACATCTTTTAAGTGTTGGATCTTCAAAGGGTTTCAATGACAAGTTTAGAAAGTTGTACAGGTCGATGAACGTTCCTGTGCCCAAGCCTCTTCCTTCATTAGTAGAACTCATGAAATCGAGAAAACGCGCAAAGAAGAATGCATACTTCTAGTCAGAACAGGCCAAGCAAGAAAGGAAAACAACGACCTTACTTGAACAGGAACTGTTCTACAACAGCAAGGAAAACAGCATATATTACTCATTGGAGGCTTGCCGAAGTGATAAGGTACACAATTTTTATCAGTTGTCTTATGAAAATAAATATGGAGATATGATATTTATTTACATTACAACTCCGGAGGTGGGGAGGCTGAGAGAAAATAGCATTATTATTACAGTTTTTCAAATTCTTGGTTGCTTAATGTGAATAAATTTGATCAATTCTTATTATATGAATAAAATTAGCACCAGATTTGGCGTGCTTAACATTACAAGTCAGTTTATGAGAGGGTGTTCGATTTATTAGATAAGCTGCAGTAAGAACTCATTCACTCCAAAAACGAAGAGGAACACGAGAGTGAAAATACAAGGCACGAACAACATTTAAAAGATGTTGATGTTTTCTCTCAACCACAGAATTCTGTTCTGATCAGACAACACAAGAAAATTGATGTATGACTCTGATAGAACTAAAGAACTCTTCAAAATTTATTTCGGGCATTGTCTGAACGAAACATTTTAATATGTCTATCATATTGAGTTTCTATAAACTTAAAAAATCGAGGAACAATCATCAAAAATCAGATTTATTTTTTAGCATATAAACCCAACTGTATCTGGATGATTAGAAAATATTTTTAACCACCATGAGAAGTAGTAGCGAAAGGTCCCCATACGTCAGCATGAACGAGATTAAATGCTGAATCAAAGAGATTATTCTGAGAAATAAAGGACAATCGTTTCTACTTAGCTAGAGGACAAATATCACAAAACTCATGTTGAATGGCTTTAAAAGAATCAAATTGCATAATGGATTTTAAAGCATTTAATCGAGTATATGGGAGATGACCAAGCTTGGCATGCCACAACTAAGATGGAAAATGATGAACAACAGTTCCACACACAACAGTAGAAGGAACCACGATAGCCGGATCCAAAGTGTCTAAAATGTAAAGACCATCATAGAGCTTACCCTTGCTAATCGTCCTCAAAGTGAACCTTTACCGAATGTAACATCCATCAGTGGAAAAAAAACACATAGAGAAGCATCTGATGTAAGAGCACTAATGGACAGTAGATTATATTAGAACTCAGGAACAAATAAGACAGGTTGAAGAAGAAGAGAGTCCAACAAACGCACTGTACTAACAAAATTCACCTTAATTCGTGTATTGTTAGGCAAGGTAACAGACGATTGAAGACTCAAATGTCGTCCGATCAAAGCAAATATGTATAGATGCACCGGTGTCAAAAAGCCACTGATTAGAGCAAGGAAGTGGTAATTTAGTATTATGGCAAGTACCTGCCAAATATGAAGAGGAGGCCTCAGAGTCATTCTTTGCCACCTTGAGTTGAGTTTGAAGCATGTTTAAAATGCTATGACATTGTGCGAAAGCCTAAGAGGGCCCAGAGAAATCGACGTCTGTGAAATAGAGTTAGCAGAGGCAGACGAATTTGTTGCAGAAACTAGAGGAGACAAGGTCACAGAGGACGGAATAGAGGAATGCGTTGATGAGTCAGAACGTTGACTTCCTTTGGTTCGATATCCCGGTGGATAGCCATGAAGACGATAATTAACATCGATCTATAGTATGTCCTTGAATGCCACAGTTCGTACAGAAAGGCCAATTATTAATGTGATGTCGAGGATGAGAGGAATCGAAGTCGCAGTGGATCGCGAATGATTAACAGCAAGGCCAACGACAGACAAAGGCGCAGAGAAAGAAGGAATGACCATCTATTGTTCTTCCTCAAAAATCAGAGAAAATGCTTTAATAAGTGAATGAGGTGGATCCATGAGGAGAATATGTACTCTAATATGAGCATATGATTCATTGAGCCCCATCAGAAAAGTCATCAGTAGTTCAAATTTAACAAATTCTTCAACTGAGTTATAGCCTCCACATGAACAACGGCCACGAGTGCAACTTCGGTCGATAAGAAGCATACTCATCCCAAATTGCTTTGAGCTTTGTATAGTACATGGTAATGGAAAGCTGGCCTTGACTGAGAGTGGCAAGTTCACGCCGTAGCTGGAAAATTCGAGGTCCATTATGCCTTTGAAATCGATCCTTTTAAGTCCAACCAAATGTCTCGGTGAATATCAAACTCGCAGAAATAAATTTCGAAACCGAATTCAATATCCAGGAGATCACCAGAAGGTTTCACGAGAGTTCCATCAACGAAGCCGAGTTTGTTATTGATTGATAAGGCAATGATCATGGAACGACTCCACGACACATAATTGTCATCTGTGACGGGTTCGGACACGAGTACCAGATTTGAAGTATCATTATGGTGGAGAAGATAAGGACTTGAGGAATCGCCATATGTGCGAGATGAAGATGGAGTTGAGGAAGGTGAATCAAAGGGAAAAGTAGAAACCGTGGGCGTGAGTGTGGTCTCCATGGAAAATCAGGAAGAAGAAATTTCTTGAAGAAAGCGGAATAAAGCGATTATTCAACTGATACCATATTAAGTTTAATTTGAAGAGAAAAATAATATCTCCTCTATTTCCTCTTGAAGAATAATAATGAATATATACGACTGTACAAGTAACTTGAGTAACAAAAAAAACTAAATAATAAACCACCTAACTAATCCTAATATCGTGCAATAGAAAAACCAAATAATAAACCACCAAGCTAATCCTAATATATAATATTTTAATAGGGCTAGTTGCAAATATTCCAAAAAAGATTTAAGGAAATAACAAATTTAGTATCTACAATTTAGTTTTGCAAATAGCAAAATTTTTTTTTAAAAAAAGGTCAAAATAATAAAATATCAAATTTATCCTCGTAGCACTTGGTAGGCCGGGACGTCTGGCAGAATGCTTGGATTCCTGCGCTAGAAGCGATGTCACAAGTAGGTTTTTTAGTCATAGCTAGACAGCCAATCTCGATGTCCTTCTCCCCAGTGCAGACTCAGTATCCTTGGTTGAAAAAAGGGATTGAGATTCCGCTCGCCTCAGTCCAACGTAGCCTTGACAAAGGAGAACAAGCCCCCTGTTGTTGATATATGTACTTGATATACCTCTAATTTACTACGCATATACGATTGATATAATTATGATATCCACTAATGTAACTTCTTATATGATTATGTAATTTAATATTTGTTGATTTACCACTGATATAGTTGTGATATATATTTGATATGCCTCTAATATACCATTAATATAATATTGATCTATAATTGATTTAGTTATGATATAACTATGATATCTACTAATATAACTTATAACATGATTTACCATTGGCATACTTATAATATAACTATAATCTCTACTGATATAAGTTATGATATGATTATATAATTTATCATTGATTTACCATGTTGACATAACACTTAGATATCTATTATATATATTTGATATGCCCTTATTTTACCACTGATATGCAAATGATATACCACTGGTATAACTATGTTATCTATTAATATAATTTCTTATATAATTTTATGATTTACCACTAATATAACATTGATATATCTATGATATATACTTAATATGTCTATAATTTATCACTGATATAACTATGATATGTACTAATATAACTATGCTATTTATATGTTGATATAATACTAATATATCCACTTTTTTTTTCTAGATGAAAACAATGGTGCAAACAAAGAAAATGAAATTTAAAGTTATTGCTTAAAAGATTGATGTGGACCATGGACGTCCAAAAAAAAAAAGTTAAAAATCTGATATACTTTATAAATTTAAACTGCTAATATCTCTTATATATAGTATCTAATTAATATTAAATAGTAAAAATATAGCAATCAAAATTATTGATAATATTAGAATATCAGTTAACAAATTGCAGGGATAAACTACAATTTAAACATGTTATATACCACTGAAAATTAAACATGTGATTTATCTTATCTAAATATATCATAAATTAGAGTTACATCAAATGTATGTCAGAGGTATATCTTCGAGGGTATATCTTCCAATATAAACTTGTCCAAACTTATTGCTTCAACATATATATCCTTCAATGAGAACCTGCTAACTTCCATATCAGGCATTGCTGAAAGGATCGAATCCCGCAGCGGAAGTGCGTGATCGCTTGTGCTTCGATTTTGTTTTAGAAGTACAACAAAGAAAAACAAAAGCATTACAAAACAGAAGTAGTGAAATATACCTTTGAAGACACTTCTTCAATTTAAACACCAACGCCGCCAAAAAAGCCTTCCTCGCTATCCTCTGAATGTTAAGAACTCGGTTTGTGGAAATCGTCTCAAAATTTAGAGAGAGATCGAGAGATTGAGAGAGAGGTTTCTTGTTAGAGTTATTGGAAACTCAATCAACCGAACACCAAAAGGAGGAGAACCTCCCTTTTATAAGGAATGAAGGGTGAGCGGGAAGTTACAACTTCCCCACTCACCACTTCCCCACTTCCCCACTTTCCATCATTAGGAGATTTTATCCCTTTTTCTTTTTATTTAATTAAAACTATTTTAATTAATTACAAAAAAGAATTATTAATTTAATTTAATTAAATCTAATTTAGTTTAATCAAATTAACATAACCCATTAATTTAATTAAATCATATTTAATTAAATTAAACTTAAATTAATCAATCATAATCAATTCAAATATCTATCTCTCTCATAATTTTGAATCTAATTCAAAATTAACTTTATATCATAATGTATCATCATATTATATTAATTGCATTTCATATAATAACTTTAATTCCCTTTAACAAATTTGAACAATTCAAATTCTTTTTAAGACTAAATACGAGATTAATTGATTAAACTCATAAACCATATCAATCAACATTCGTTAACTGTTGGTCACTCCACTAAAGACCCACAGTTGCACTTTCTCACTATAGAATATCTTGCGTCCACAAATTTTGACTATTATCAGTAAGTCAATCCTTCACGAGTGTTCGTAACCACAGACGGGTCAAATTACCGCACCTCGGTGTTAGTTTATTGGATTTGGATTAATGCAATTCTAAAAAAAACATCAATAACAATTTTATTGAATAAATATTTGTTGTTTTATGTTTACAAAACACGATTATTAAAGAAATATTTGTTGTTTTATGTTTACAAAATACGACATTAAGGCATAAAACCCAACAACAACATCAGAGCAACTTCAGAACTGATCAGGGCCAATTTCTCAAATCCTCACAGAACATAAGATTCCAGCACCCAAGAAGTATGAATATACACCCAAGAACAAGATTTGAAGTCGTCCAGCGTCCATCATCTATGCTATCTGCAACAGTTAATAAGAACCACAAAAACTAGTAAAAATGGGCTTCGTGTTACCGAAATTAACCAAATTGACAAAAAGGGTTCGATACAACTTACCATAAAAAAGCCGGATCTGAAACATAAATGAATCAGAAACTATCCACAAAAACAAAATTCTTTCCTCTAGAGTATTTACGAAATGTAGGATCTGGATTTACTAAAACTGAATCATGCCCACTCTAAAAATTTCAAGAAATTTTCATCTTGGCAAACAGAACAAACTAATTAACGCCACCATATTCAAGGTGGTTGATCAATCTAATTCTTGATACAAGAAATTTAAACGTTAACATACCAATTTCAATATGCAAAGAAAATAAAGAGAAATTCTCGTTCAAGAACGGGGAACCGAATTACTGGATACTAAGACAAAAATGACTAAACGAAGATAAGATTGGAACTATGCAATTGCACTGATGCTTGAGAAAAAGGAAAAGATGAAAAAGATCATGATAATAATCCACGAATGAAGCTAGTGATGAAAAAGAGAAAAAAATATTGGAAATTAAACATGTATCTTCCAATGTACATGACACATATACATGAATTTGTATTTAGTTAATTACATTCATTTATTTAGTTTTTTATGATGAATTATTTATGTTCATGTATATATGGATTCATGGAATGAGATTTATTTTATAGATCTAGATCTTTCCATGGAATCCTATAAATAAGATGATCTCTTGTTGTATTTCAAGCAAGTGTATGAAGAAGAAAAACAAGAGAGTTTGAGAGAGTTTGTGAACCAAGTGTGTATTTTGTGAGAAATTTCAATACGAGTGAAGTTGTTTATTTTCAAACGAGTCTTGTTGATTATAAATTAGCAAGTGTCCATCACACGCTTCCAACAAAGTGGTATTAGAGCTTGAGTTTGAAAATAGTTGTTTTTTGCAAACTGCAAACAACAATTTGGTTCCATTCAAAGTGCCTCGTCTTACAAAAGAAAATTATAGCAGTTGGTGTATTCGTATGAAGGCTTTACTTGGTTCACAAGATGCATGAGATATTGTTGATAGAGGCTATGAAGAACCAGAGGATGTGATTTTGAATCAAGCTCAACGAGAGACTTTGCAAAATACCAGAAAGAGAGACCAAAAGGCTCTCACCATTATTCATCAAGCCATTGATGATACAAAATTTGAGAAGATTTTTGGAGCAACCACCGCAATGCAAGTATGGCAAATTTTGGAGAATACTTATAAAGGAGTTGATCGGGTCAAGAAGGTCCAATTTAAAAAATTGAGAGGTGATTATGAAGCATTACATATGAAGGAGTCTTAATCAATTGAAGATTACACTTCAAGGTTGCTAGCCATGGTAAAAGAAATGAAGAGGTATGGTGAGACGATAAATGATGTGCAAGTAGTTTAAAAGATACTTTGCTCATTGGATGAAAAATTTAATTTCATCGTTGTAGCAATTGAAGAATCAAAGGATTTGAGTACAATGTCCGTTGATCAACTTATGGGTACTTTGCAAGCCCATGAAGAGAAGCTTTTCAAGAAGAGCAAACAGACAACCAAACAACTCTTTCAATCAATGTTGCAGTTGAAGATAAAGAAGATAGCCAAGAGGTTATCGAGGTCATGGTCGTGGTGACTTCAGAGGTCGTGGTCGAGGAAACTTTGGTCAAATAAAGTTTGATTGGAGTAATTTCAACTCCAATTCGTCAAGAGGTCGTGGCAGACAAAATTGTTCGAGGTCGTATGGAGGAAAGTCAAATGATGACAGGAGGTATGACAAAAGCCGAGTTGAATGTTATAATTGTCATAAATTTGGTCATTATTCATGAGAGTGCAGAAATAAAGTAGAAGAAAATATCAATTACGTTGAAGAAGATGTTAAAAGCAGTGAGCCATCATTGCTTTTAACATGTAGAGATGAAGAAACATGTGAGAATAGTTCATGGTATCTTGATAGTGGTTGCGGAAGTAAATCCATGTTTGTGGAATTGGATGAATCTGTTAGTGGCAATATCATATTTGGTGATGCTACAAAAATTCCTGTAAAGGGAAAAGGTAAGATTTTGATCAATTTGAAGAATGTGAAGCATGAGTTTATCTCTAATTTATTATGTGCCAAATATGAAGAACAATATTTTGAGTTTGAGACAACTCTTAGAGAAATGCTATAATATTTTAATGAAAGATTATAGTCTTTCAATATGGGATCATCGTGACAATATGGTGGCTAAAGTCCGAATGACGAAGAATAGAATGTTTCCATTAAACATTCAAACTAATGTTGCAAAATGTTTGAAGTCGTGTTTGAAAGATTCATCATGGATTTCACACTTAAGACTTGGACATTTGAACTTCGATGGCTTGAGATTATTAGCCAGGAAGGGCATGGTGAAAGGATGGCCATATGTCAAGCATCCAGATCAACTTTGTGAAGGATGTCTGCTTGGCAAGCAATCAAGAAAGAGTTTTCTACAACAATCTTCTTCGAGAGCAAAGAGACCGCCAGAGCTTGTTCACACTGATCTTTGTGGACCTATCAAGCCAAGTTCTTTCGGTAAGAATAATGATTTCTTATTATTCATTGATGATTTCAATCGAAAAACTTGGGTTTATTTTGTTAAGGAGAAATCAGAAGTATTTGGCATGTTCAAGAGATTCAAAGCTCTTGTTGAAAAAGAAAATGATTTTTTATAAAAGCCTTGAGATCTGACAGGGGAGGAGAATTCACTGCGAATGAATTAAAAGATTTTTGTGCAGAAAATAG